AGCCCGGCTCACGGCAGGCCCTCGGTGCGCGGCGCCGCGAGCGGCCATGCATTCCGGGGCCTGGGCGTCCGCGAGCGCGAGGACGCTGGCCCGCCGGCTGCGGCGCGAGCGACGCGCCGCCCTGGGGCTCAGCCGTTCGCAGGCCATCGACATCCGCGTCAAGGCGCTGCGGGCGGCGCTCGAGGGCCACTGGGAGCTCAGCGATGCCATGGGCGCCCATGTTCGTTCCTTCGGCGAGGCCCTGGCGGCGGCGCGCCTTCTGGCGCCGCAGCTCAACCTCAAGGTGTTCGAGGACTTGAATGCCCAGGGGAACTGGGCGAAGCACGCCCCGCCGCCTGCTGCTGCCTCTCCTTTGCGGGCGGCCCCGTCAGGCGCGGTCATGGCGTCGGTCTTCGAGGATTTCTGGGTCGGGCTGCACACCCCGTACGGCGTGGCGGAGGTGCAGGCGCCTACCGACCAGGCGGCTCCTGATCGTCCCGTTCCTGCCCTGGAGGAGTCGCAGGAGTTTCAGCCTTCTCTCATCGATCATCTCCCTGGCGTTGTGGTGCCCTCGGTGCTCTGGCCGGGTGTCTGGGAGCCGTTGGAGGCGCCCACCAAGGACGATTTCGCAAAGGTTTTGCATTCGGTCGCCAAACGTGGTGCCAGCATTGGCGGAAGCAGCTGCGGCGGTGAGACATCGCCTGGCGCAGTTTCGCACGTCGGTGGAGGCGCTGTCGGAGGCGATCGCCAGTTTCCCATGGATGGGGCCCCTCCCCCCGCCATGGACGGCTCTGAGGAGGGGAGCGCTGTGCCATCTTCGTGCCCGACTGGGAGTGTAGTGCAGGAGTCGGCTCTTTCCGTACATGACGCTCAACACGTTGACGACGAGAAGGACGATGTGGTCCTCGCCCGTGCTGATCGGCGCGGGCTCCGCGGCATCCTCGAGGGCTTCATGAACCGGGATGATGTTATCGGCGAGGATGTGTCTCTTGTGGAGGCGCTTCATGCCCTGGAGTCGTCTGGAGGACTGGTACACCCTGCTCTCCGTGCTCTCGGGTTCTCACATGTAGGTCGCGTTCGACCTGGTGTACCTCGGCTTCATTGACCTCGTCTCGTTCGTGATGTTCTGCTTCGTGTACTCATTTGCGGTGCGTGTTAAAAAAATCCGTACCCTGTCCCCCCTACCCCTCCCTCATCCCCCCCCCCTTCCCCGTCCCTCCTCCCCCTCTGCCTCCTGCGAAGCGCGCGTGTCGCGCGGCGTCCTGGCGGCTCCCTGGCCTCAGGAAGCTCCCGGGAGGTTTACGGACCTTCCCTCTTGCAGCCCAGGGCAGGGGCGTTTTTGTTCATCCCTCGAAAGAGGGGCACGGGCGGGCGGCCGCGGGAGGCAGAGAAGGGAGGAGCCTCTTCTCTCCTCCTTCTCCTCCTCCTCCTCCTCCTCCTCCTCCTCCTTCTCCTCCTCCTCCTCCTCCACCTCCTCTCCCTCGTCTCCTCCTCCTCCTCCTCCTCCTCGTCCTCCTCCTCCCTCCTCCTCCTCCTCTCCCCCTGCCTCCTCCTCCTCCTCCTCCTCCTCCTCATTTTCCTCTTGCTCTCCTCCCCCTTCTTCTCCTCATCCTCTTTGCTCCTCCTCCTCTTTGCTCCTCATCCTTCCTCCTCCTCCTCCTCCTCCTCCTCCTCTCCTCCTCCTCCTTGCTCCTCCTCCTCCTCCTCCTCCTCCTCCTCCTCCTCCTCCTCCTCCTCCTCCCCTTCCAGAGGAGGGCACTCACGTTGGCCGAGCCACCGCGCAGCCGATGCTTGCTGCGGCAGGGCAGTCGCGGCGAGTCCTCCAGGGAGGAGAGACCAGCCGGGCCGGATGCTTTCGGGCGATCGCCAACATGGGTCAAGGGAGCGTGGATTGGCGACGGGGGCGAGCCGCCGCGCAGCCAATGGATGCTGCGGAACGGGGGGTCGCGGCCAGCCCTCCACGGAGGAAAAACCAGCCGGGCCCGAGAAGTCCAGGCGATCGCAGACGTGGATCAAGGGGGCATGGACTAGCGTCGGGTCCCGCTTCCATGGGAAGTCGCGCATTTCCGCCGCCGAGCGAGGCGGCAGCGGCCGCACTTTGGGGAGGGCATTTCCCCCCATCCATGGCTTTGGCGAGCGCGCGCCAAATCCATGGATCGCTGATCCATGTTGCGCGCTCCCGATAATTGGTGTTTACTGAGCGGCCCTGGGCGTGTATGAAACAGCCCTGCCTTGTTCGATTCCTTCTACGGATGCGTTGACTAAACGGTTCCGCGTGTCTAAGTCCTCGGTCGGCGTCAAGTTTACATCTACACCGATCCCGGCAAGGCCAATCCTGGGGCCCTGGGTGTGCGTGTGTGTGTGTGTGTGGTGTGTGGTGTGTGGTGTGTGGTGTGTGGTGTGTGGTGTGTGTGGTGTGTGTTGTGTGTGGTGTGTGTGGTGTGTGGTGTGTGTGGTGTGTGTGTGGTGTGTGTGTGTTGTGTGTGTGTGTTGTGTGTGTTGTGTGTGTTGTGTGTGTTGTGTGTGTGTGTGTTGTGTGTGTGTTGTGTGTGTTGTGTGTGTTGTGTGTTGTGTGTGTTGTGTGTGTTGTGTGTGTTGTGTGTGTTGTGTGTGCTGTGTGTGCTGTGTGTGTTGTGTGTGTGTGTGTGTTGTGTGTGTTGTGTGTGTGTGTGTGTGTGTGTTGTGTTGTGTTTGTGTGTGTGTTGTGTGTGTTGTGTGTGTGGTGGTGTGTGGTGTGTGTGTGTGTGTGTGTGTGTGGTGTGTGTGGTGTGGTGGGGTTGTGTGTGTGTGTGTGTGTTGTGTGTGTTGTGTGCGTTGTGTGTTGTGTGTGTTTGTGTGTTTGTGTGTGTGTGTGTGTGTTGTGTGTTGTGTGTTTTGTGTGTTTTGTGTGTGTTGTGTGTGTTGTGTGTGTGTGTGTGTGTGTTGTGTGTGTGTGTGTGTGTGTGTGTTGTGTGTGTGTTGTGTGTGTTGTGTGTGTGTTGTGTGTGTGTTGTGTGTGTGTTGTGTGTGTGTGCGCATGTGCGGTTGTCTACGCCTTCCTCGCAAAGCCAGGAGGGCGCCGGTGCAGGTGGGCAGTTGGAGCCGTCCGATGTCCTTCCAGCCCGCGCGCTGCCGTCGCGGCGGCGCGCGGGGCGCTCCCGGCGGCGCGCGCTGCCAGCGGCCTCGCGGCGCGCCCGCATCGGCAGCGGCAGCGCGCGCGCCGCCAGCTGCGGAGGGGTCTGCTCCCGCGCAGCCGCCGCCGAGCGCCGCTCGACGGCGGCGGCTCGACCGTGGGGGCACCCGAGCCTGCCGCCGAGCGCCCCCTCGGAGGCGCGGGCGGCGCGGGCGCGCTGGCGGGCCCCGCTCGGCCACGGCGTGGGGGGGGGCGGAGCGGCGGGGCCAGCGGGCGGGGGGCGACCGCGGAGGGCTCCGCGGGCCGACGCCGCGCGCTGCGCGGGGGGCTGGGCCGGCGCTCCTGCCACCGGCGCAGGGGGCAGCCGCCTCTGGCGGGGGGCGGCGCGGGCGCCGCGCACGGGGCCTCGCGGCGAGCCCGGCCCGCCCGACGCACGGCGCGGGCGGCAGCGCTGCGGCGGCGCTGCGGCGCCGCGCCGCCGTGCGGCACGACGCGCCTCGGCCTCTGCTCCCGCAGGAGAGAAACGCCACGAGCATAAACTCTGAGCGCTCCGCGCGGATTTCTGGCATCGGCGCCCGGCCCCCCTGGCGGCGCCTCCGGCGCCGCCCCTGGCGCGCCAGGGAGGGGGGCCCGGCGCAGATCCAAAAATCCGCACGGCGCGCCAAGAGGTTATTATGCTCGTGGCGTTTTTTAGTATTCCTCTGTGCTTGGCGTGCGAGGAGCCGGCCCGCAACAGTGCAGGCGGTGGCGGCTCCTCTGGCGGCGTCTCGGGGCCGAGCAGGACTCGGGGGCAAGGGCAGGCGAGGAGTGGCTCAGGGGGGGAGGCATCGACCCTCGATCGCTGACTGCTCGTCGATGGGGGCCCAGTAGCCCCACCGTGTCCCTCCCCGCCCAGGACCGTGCAGATGCGCCCTCGTGGGCATATCGCCCGCCTATCGGTGAAGTATCGCCGAGTCCAGGCCGAGGTTTCCCCCTGGGCTGGTCCCCCCCTTGAGCGTGGCCCTCCAGTCTCGGGGGCCGAGCATGGTGGACGCGACTGGCGCGCAGCTTTTTGGCTCACGGCGATGGACGAGGCCCGCGGCGACTGCGGTTCGCGTTCTCCGATGGCAGAAGTGAATCAGAAGGGAAAAACACACACAGACACAATCGTCGATTCCAGAGATCATATGGGGAGATATGGGAAGTGGGGGAGGAAGACGAAAACCCAGAAAAAAATATGACAACAAATGTGGGGAATCCTGGGATGTGTGTGTGTGTATGTATGCGTGCGTGTGTGTGTGCGTGTGTGTGTGTGTGTCCCTGGGCTCCTGAAATGAAAACTCGTCGGTTACCCTGTTCGTCCTGCGCCTTGTGCCGTCGCTCGTCGCCGCCGTGGTTGTCCGAGGCCGTCGCCGCCGGGGATCGAGTAATTAGGAGGTCGGGGGCCGAGGCTCGGGGGACCTGTGGCATCTTTCTGCGGGGGCCCCCGCCGCCGCGGCTGGACGAGCCTCAGAGCTTGCTGTCAGCAGCGAACGCTCCAGGAGAGGCCCTGGGGGAGCGGCCGCTGCCCCCGCCTTCTGCTTGGCATCGCTCGGACGTGTGCCTTCTTCCTCCGGCGAGGACCATCGAGGAGCGTCCTTGATCATCTGGCGAGAAACCACGCACGAAACCGAAAAAAGCGCAGGGAATAGACGTCCGAGCGACGGCCAGTGTCAGAGAACGCTCCAGGAGAGGTCCTGGGGATCGGCCGCTGCCCCCGTCTTCTGTGTGGAGGCGAGGGGGGGATCACGAGAAGGAGGGGGAGGGGCATGCGGCGCCAGGCATAGCCGACGCGTGCCGCGAGCGCGCGTGTGGCGGCGGCGGCGGCGGCATCTGGGTCTCGCGCGCTGGGAAGAAGAAGGAGGGGGGGAGGGGCATGGGGAACACGTGTCTCGGACTCGCCCTCGGGGGCCTACCATCGATCAATTCCAGGTCGATGCTCCCCGCCCCCCCCCCCCAGGCGGTGCCCCTCCCACTTGCGAGCAGGGCCGCGACAGGCCCCCCCTCTCGAGCAGGAGCCGCGCCCCGGCGTGGCCCGTTCCGCGGGGGAGGGGAAGGGAGGAGGAGGAGAAGGAGGAGGAGGAGGAGGAGGAGGAGGAGGAGGGGGAGGAGGAGGGGAAGTAGGAGGAGGAGGAGGAGGAGGAGGAGGAAGAGAGAGAGCCCGGAGGCGGAGAGAGAGAGAGAGAGAGGCGGCACGGGGGGGTCCGTCGGCGGCGAGCCTCGGGGGGAGGGGGAGAAGTGTGAAGTCGGGCGTGTCCCTCGACAAGAGGAATATTCAAAATGAGCCCAGAAATTATCAGGGGACGATTTTTGTTTTGAATCTTGTTTGACTATGTTTGGATATTTGCTGCGTGTCTCTAACTTTTTCACCCGAACTCCGCCCGTAGGGGGACCTGCCCGATCTCAGTGGAGTGTGAGGCGGGACGGGCCCTCTCCGGATCGGCACGAGCGCAGCGGCTGCGGAGGGGATGGGCACAGAGCCCTATAGGGGAGCGAACAGTGACGTGAGCATAAACAACAGACGGAGACGTGAGCATAAAACATATCCGGATCGGCACGAACGCAGCGGCTGCGGAAGCAATGGGCACAGTACCCTAATTAGGGGAGCGAACAGTGACGTGAGCATAGAAAATCTCGGAGGCCCGCGCGGACTGCTCGGATCGGCGCTGGGCGCCCCCCGGCGGCGCCCTGAGGTCGGGCAGGGCGAGATTGGAGGTTCGTGCCAGGGCGAGATCGGAGCAGTCCGTTCCGTGCTCGTGTTGCTTTGGTTTTCAGGGGAACAAAAAGTGGCATAAACAGAAAATCTAGGAGGTCCGCGCGGATTGCTCGGATCGGCGCTGGGGGCCCCCTGGCGGCGCCTCCGGCGCCGCCCCTGGCGCGCTCCGCGCGCCAGGTGGGGGGGGGTCCAGCGCGGATCCGAGGAATCCGCGCGGACCTTCCTGGTCTTATGTGTAAGTCATTATTCGTTCCCTCATGCCCAACAACAGTTACCGTTCATTGTAAACAGGAATCGCTGTCCGCGCCGCCGCGGACGTTGCCCATGGAAGACAAGAAGCCGCATGCCCAACAGCGGCCGCTGTCTGTTTTGGACAACAGTTGTTGTTGAGCATTGTACCCATTTCTTCCGTACCCACTTCGGGTGTCCAAACAGAAGGTTTGGCAGTCCCCCGGCCTTCGGAGATGTTCTCTCAGCCTTCCAGGAAGACACAGAAAATGTCTCAGAAGGCCGGAGGGCTTCCGGGAAGCCCCGCCGCCGCCGGGGCTCAAGGGATTGGGGTCAGTGCAAACGGGGGTCAGTCGGAGCGGCGGATCTTGCAGGATCCTGCGGACCCAGATCTGGGTGCAGGATCCTGCAGCATGTTTCAGGACCCTGCATGCGCCTGACTGACCCGGGTCTGGATTGACCCGGGGTTCAGTAGATCCCCGACGCTTTCTGAGGAGGCCTGTTCCTTCTCGCTTCCCCCACTCGCTCGCCACCGAGTCAGCGGCCGATGGGGGCGGCGGTCGTCGCCGATCCCCCCCCAGGCCGTGCGAGCGGCTGGACGGCGTCCCTGCCCAGGACGAGGGCAGTCGGCACACCCGCCTACGCGAGCCGGGCAGTGACCAATACGATCGGAGCGGGGGGAGGAGGAGGGGAAGAGGAGGGCGGAGCAGGGAGGATCTAGGCCTCCCAGATGGGGTCGGAGCAGAGGGGGTCCACGGATCTCGCCGCATCGCCGACGCATCGGCGACGCGGCGATGTGGAGCCCGATGTTCTCCACGCCGACGCGGCTCGATCCTCCGACCCCACTGCTCCGACCTCATCTAGGAGGCCTCGAGAGGAGGGGCAGGGGAGGAGGGGGGGCTCGCACGTCTTGGCCGGGATCAAGACCGTATGATGCAGGGGTTATTGGCCATTAGGTGCTTGTGAGGGATTCCTGCCGACTGCAGTGTGTGAAGAGGTACAGACAGGGACGGAAGGAATGAGCGATGAGGAGGAAGGAGATGAGCAGACAATGGTGGTGGAGGCAGATCCACAGAGTCATTCGACCACATGGGTGGTCGAATTGTTGGCCTTGCCTTGAGTCAACGTCGTCCCTACGTGGATACCAGCACGTGTTGTGCCTCAAGCGCGCACGTCAGCGAGGACAAGAACTCCTGGAGCAATCCTTGGGTTCTCTTGGAGCATTAGAAGTTGGGGTCCTCCTGAGGTTTGCTCTGGGTCCTCTTGGAGCCTTCCGAGGGCTCTTCTGGAAGGCCCCGGGGTCCCCATCGGGCCCTGTCAAGTCCTCTGGGGGCCCACGTGGGGGCCCGGAAAGGGCTCGTGGGGCCATCTTCTACGGCGTTGATTAAGGGAGGGAGACAAACACAAAAAAACACACACAACAACAAAACAAAAAAAACAACAAAACAAACACAACAACACACAAAAAACACAAACACACACACACACACACACCACCACCACCACCACCACCACCACCACCACCACCACCACCACCACCACCAACAACAACAACAACAACAACACACACACACACACACAAAACACAAAACACACACAACACAACACAACACAACACAACACAACACAACACAACACAACACAACACAACACAACACAACACAACACAACACAACACACACACACAGTTTGTTTTTGTTCCACGGGTCCTCGTGTTGCCCCACCCACCCCCCACCCACCACCCGACCTGGGGCCAACAGCCTCGCGTCTCGGGGCGCTCATGGGCCGATCCTGGGCGCTCCTGGGGGCCGGTTTGGGGGGGGCCTCGCGAGTTCTCTTGGGGCCGCCTTGGGGCCACCGTGGGGCGCCAAAAGCCCATCGGATGTGAAACGGCGAGAAGGCATACACTGTTGATCTGTCGCAGGGGCCTCGTGAGTTCTCTTGGGGGGCCTCGTGAGTTCTCTTGGGGCTGGTTGGGGGGCCTCGTGAGTTCTCTTGGGGGGCCTCGTGAGTTCTCTTGGGGCTGGTTGGGGGGCCTCGCGAGTTCTCTGGGGGGCCACCTTGGGGCGCCGAAAGCCCATCGGATGTGAAACGGCGAGAAGGTATACACTGTTGATCTGTCGCAGGGGGGGGGTCCCGAGGTAATGGCCGGGATAGGTTCGCGGATGTGACTGCGGATGCCAGTGCCATGCCGCACACCATCTCTAGTTACTTGTGTGTGTTGTGAGGGTCATGCCCTTGGAGTGGATCCTTCCACGGGTGGGCACGGCGGATTGAGCGCAGTTTATGCGTTGACTGGTCTCTAGGGACAACATGCATTCACGCGAGTGCAAAACAGCTGGACCTTGGCCAGAAGTGCGATCCACGTGGGCTCGTATCGTTTCAGTCTGCCTTCGGGTGGCATGATGAGATGTGGTCACGGCCGCCAACACTGGATCGTCTTGCCATGCGTTCGTGGTGCCACATAATCTACGTCGCGTTGGGTGGATTATGGGCGGTGGTCGTACCCGTGTCCGTTACACATTCCTTCGTAATCGCGCGCGTTTGGTTTGCCGATCCGTTTTCATACATCCCGATGTCTTGCAGACAGCCGCATACTCGCATTCAGCCTACATTTGCACTCCGCCTGCACCCCAGCCGCCCACGCAGAAACCGCAGCACGAATATAACATACATTTGGGGAGGTGAGTCCCAAATATGTTCACAAAGAGGGTGATTGCACAGTGTGCTCTCGACGCGCTTTCTATCGTCCACGAGCGGCAGCTTAGCCTACGCTGTTGTATCAAGAGTCATGGTAAGTATTGCCGCTTCGCGTCTTCCCACCAGCCTGAGAGTTCCCCTGGTCAGGAATCGGAACGAGGAGAAGGATCTCTTCCAGGAGCTTGTTTGGGGAGCTCTGCAGGAACTTTGGAGGGGGTTCTGGGGAGGTGGTTGTTTCCTTGGGGGGAGGAAGGGGGGAGTTTGTTGGAGGAGTTTTGGAGGAGCTCTGGATTTTTTGGGGGGGAGGGGGGAGTTGGAGCCCTCTTGGAATTTTGAATCTTGGAAGGGTTTTGGAGGGAGTTCTGGGGGTTTGGGGGGGAGGGGGGGCACTTGGAGCCTTCGTGGAGGCCAGGTGGGCCCTCCTGGAGCCATCCGGGAGGCCATCGACTAAGGAGAGAAGGGTTCTCAAGAGAGCGACGCAAGAAAACGAGATCGTCTGCGCTGACACTGGCGCGTGAGCTGTCCGCGCCATGTCGCGCGTAAGCGCCCCCATCTCCAATGCAGCGTGCAACGCTGGCGGCCCGCGTGAGCTGCGGCGTAAGGTCGCTACGTCCTCTCGCGAACGACCCGTTTTTGATCGTCGCTCAAGAATCGGCGGCGAGCGAGGCGGGGAAATGAGAAGCAGAAGGCCTTCTCAAGAGGTTCGGAAGTCCCCTTGCATTCTGAGAAGTGCTCTAAGCCTTCCCCGAGATCACAAAAAACTGCTCAGAAGGCGCGAGGGCTTCTGAGAAGTCCCGCCGCCTTTGAGAGGGCCCTCTCCTTCTCACTTCCTCCCCTCGCTCGCCACCGAAAGAAGGTCCCCCGGTCTGGGCCCGAACGTGGGCCTTGGGGCCCTCTTGGGGCGCCCTTGTGCACGCCATGGACCGTCTTGGATCCCTGTCGAGCCCCTCCTGGGTCCGTTCTGTGCCATCTTGGAAGCCTTGAGGGCTCGTCGAAACCGAGCAGGCGAGAAGGCCAATCACAGTAGAACAATCACTTGGGTCTCGGAGGATGCTGGCCTCTGAAAGGCGTCCGTGGCAGGCTCTGATGGCACTTGTCGGGCGGGGCGAAAGGGGGGGATTGGGAAAGGGGGGGTTACGAAATTTGCTGCATGCAGCTGGTTTCGGCCTCACCGAGGGGCCCATTCCTCGATACATGGGCGCCTCCGGCGCCGGGAGGCGCCGGAAAAATCAGCTACGGGAGCTGATTCTCACCCCCCCCTTTGCTATCCCCCCCTTCCGCCCGACCCGAGCTTGGAGCCGCCCCGAGGCGGCGGGACCCAGCAGCGCCAACGGCGAGGGCTTGCGCAGGCCTCTGACGTCGCGACAAGACAGACAGACCGGCGTGAGCAAATCGAGACGGGCCCAATTTTGATCCGGCCACGCGCAGATGCGGGTGCACGTAGGAGGAGGAGGAGGAGGAGGAGGAGGAGGAGGAGGAGGAGGAGGAGGAGGAGGAGGAGGAGGAGGAGGAGGAGGGGGGAGGAGGAGGAGGAGGGGGGGGGGGAGGAGGAGGAGGAGGAGGAGGAAGGAGGAGGAGGAGGAGGAGGAGGAGGAGGAGGAGGAGGAGGAGGAGGAGGAGGAGGAGGGAGGAGGAGGAGGAGGAGGAGGAGGAGGAGGAGGAGGAGGAGGAGGAGGAGGAGGAGGAGAGGAGGAGGAGGAGGGAAGGCTTCTTAGAAGGGGGTGCACGTAGGCCTCCCCCCCCTCCATGGAGTAGATCTTGTTTTTGGGCGCCTGTTTCATGCAGGTGGGGTCTCTATCACAGGACGCACGGTTGCAAACAGTCGCGTCAAGCAGAGGTCCGGAGCCAGACCCCTCCCTCCCCCTTCCCTTCCGCCCAAGGTTGAAACGCCGAATCAGAAAACGTCGACCTTTCCCCAGGCCTCCATGCGCGCCGCCGGGCTGGTCTGACGAGGAAAGCTTGCCAGCGTTTCTGCACGAACGAGATGGGCACGGAAAGAATGGGTACGATGCCCAACAGCAGTTCCTGTTCCTGTTCATTTTGAACAGGGCTCGCTGTCCGCGCCGCCGCGGCCTGTGTCCATCTGAGAGCAGGCCGCCTGCCCAACGTCGGCCGCGGTTGGTTCGGGGCAGCATTTGCTGTGGGGCATCGTAGCCATTCTTTCCGTACCCATTTCGGGTGTCCAAAGCGTTGGTTCCACGATCGGATGCTGGACCCTCTCCTCTCGGAGCCCGCTCGAGACGCCCTCGCGAGGTCCCTCCTGGGCCGCCTGCTCCCCAGCCGCGCCCCAGCCGCGGCGGCGGGGAGCGCCGTCGGGGGCCGAGGAGGAGGAGGAGGAGGAGGAGGAGGAGGAGGAGGGGGAGGGGAGGGGGAGGAGGAGGAGGAGGAGAGGAGGAGGAGGAGGAGGAGGGGAGGAGGAGGAGGAGGAGGAGGAGGAGGAGGAGGAGGGGGAGGGGAGGGGGAGGAGGAGGAGGAGGAGGAGGAGGGGAGGAGGAGGAGGAGGAGGAGGAGGAGGAGGAGGAGCAGCAGGAGCAGCAGGAGGAGGAGGAGGAGCAGCAGGAGGAGGAGGAGGAGGAGGAGACGGCCCCCTCCGAAGGCTCCAGAAAGGAAAGCACGCGGCCTCTTCGGTCGGAAGCGGGAGCAGATTGCAAGACCAGTGGCGGGCCGTTTCTCAACCCCACGACTCTCCGAGCATCGGGGGCGACGCCGGGGCGGTGTGGTGGTGTATGCTTGCTGTTTCTGTTCCCCGGGGAAGCAGAGGATGCCGTCTTCACCGGGATCCGTTTTCCTGTTCAAACTTCAGTGCAGGGCCAGGAAACGCGTCGGTGTATATAGAGTTCGGCTCCCTATTTGGAGAAGACGAACTCTAGATGATGTCCTCCAACCCCGAGGCCCTCACAGAGAACGACGACGATCGAAGAATAACTGGTTGCGTGAACATGAACTTTCTGAGCTCCGCGCGGAGTTCTTGGATCTTCGCTGGACCTCCCTGTCGGCGCCTCTGGCGCCGCGCTCCGCACGTCAGGGGGGACCCAGCGACGATCCACGAATCACGCGCGGAGCTCCGAAAGTTTGTGTCGGCGCATTTCCTCTTACTAGACGACGACGGCGGCGGCGGCGGCGGCGACGGTGACAGCCGCGGCGGCGACGAAGAGGACGACGGCCACTGCCGAGCGCCTCCCGACGATGTCGGCGGCTACGACGGCGACGGCGGCGGTGACGACGGCGGCGGCGGCGACGGCGAGGACGGCGGCGGCGGCGACGGCGACACGGGCGAGCCACAATTGGGGGAGATGTGGCCCTGACCCCCTGAGGTGGCCATCGGCTTCGACAGCCCTCTCGAGAGGTCGGGGGTAAGGCACGCAGCCCCACACTTGTGGCTGGTCGACGATGGCGTCGGCGACGGCGAGGACGCTCGGCCGCAGCCGAGCGCCTCCCGACGACGACGACGGCGGCGGCGCTCTGCGACGGCGGCGACCGCGGCGAGGACGACGAGTCCTCCTCCTCCTCCTCCCTCCCTCCCTCCCTCCCTCCCTCCCTCCCTTCCTCCCTCCCTCCTCCCTCCGTCCTCCTCCTCCTCCTCCTCCTCCTCCTCCTCCTCCACTTGGGCCGTCCTGGAGCGTCGGCAGCCAGAGAAGGCGAGAGCGCCGAAACCCTTCGGGAGCCCATCCGAAATGTCAACGGCGGCGAGGCCGACGGCCGCCGCCGAGCGCCTCCCGACGACGGCCGCGCTCTGCGCTCGGCGGCGGCGGCGGCGGCGAGGGCGACGGCCGCCGCCGAGCGCCCCTCGACGAGGCCGAGCGCCTCCGCGGGCGCGGCCCGCCGCCCGCCGCGAGGCCAGCCCGGAGCAGCTCGCGGGCGCGGCCGCCGGGTCCGCGGGCGACGTGTACTCGCTGGGCGGGCGGGGCGGGGCGACAGCGGCAGGGGCAGCATTTCGAGTAGGGGATCGACTGCAGAGTTGATCTGCCCCAGCATAGATTGTTTCGCCGAGTCCTGCGAGCAATGCGCAGAATGCTCGGCAGGTCCACCGAACAGTCGACGTGCTCTTGTTCACAGACCCGCCGGAGAATCAATTGCGGGGTAGATCGATTTGGGAGTCGATCCCCTACTAGAAGCATGGGGTTCGATAGCCTGTCTATGGGAGCGCTTATCTTCTCAAGCATAAGTGTGCGGAGCGCATCAGCGAAAGCTAGCGGCCGGCAGTCGATGAGGAGGTGCCGATGTGGCGTCGACCTGCTGTCGACTAGCGTCGGTTAGCGCCGCTTCGCAAGAGCCAGCAAGGTGGCATGGGCCAATAACAATCTGCAGGGGCAGCATGAGGGACAAGGGAGGAAAAATCACCCAGACCAGACAATTGGCGTTTACTAAACGGCGCTGGGCGTTTACAAAACAGCCCTGCCCTGTTCGAGTCCTTCTTTGGGCGCGTTTACTAAACGACGTCGCGTGCGGTTATTATGGGGGTGGATATTTTGATTTCTAGAGGGGCCTCCCTCGGCAACCCTGCAGGGCTCCTCCTTTCCTTCCTCCTCTCCCCCTCCCCCCTGTTCTCCATCCTCCTCCTCCTCTCCCCCTTTATCCCCCCTCCTCCTTCTCCTCCTCTCCCCCCGCCTCCTCCTCTCCCCCTATCCCCCTCCTTCTCCTCCTCCTCCTCCTCCTCCTTCTCCTCCTCCTCTCCCCATCCTCCCTCCCGCCTCCTCCTCCTCCTCCTTCTCCTCCTCCGCCTCCTCTCCTCCTCCTCCTCCTCTCCTCCTCCTCCTCCTCTCCCCCTCCTCCTCATCAGCAGCAGCAGCATCATCATCATCATCAGCATCATCATCAGCAGCAGCATCATCATCAGCAGCAGCATCATCATCAGCATCGTAATCGTCATCGTCATCGTCATCATCATCAGCAGCATCATCATCATCGTCATCGTCATCAGGAGTCATCAGCATCATCATCAGCATCGTCATCAGCATCAGCATCTTCATCGCCATCATCATCGTCTTTAGCATCATCAACAACCTCATCATCAGCAGCATCAGTATCATCATCCTCAGGGCAACGTTAGGGGCGTAGGCTCGAAGTTGTCTGGCTCGAGGTTGGAAGTGTTCGGGCATCATCGTCGGCTATCGGACAACGTCCTTAGCCTCGTGGACCGTTTCGGAGCGACGGAGTGCGCAGATGCGTTGGGCGTGGGGACACCTCGTGAGCTGTTGGACTACGCGCTACGGGGGCAACGTTGATTGGGACGGGCTGAGGGGCAAGGCGAGGTTCGAGGTTAGAGGTTTTGGGGCGTTTGTGTCGGCTCTCCTCCTCTTCCTCCTCTTCCTCCTCCTCCACCTCCTCGTCCTCCTCCTCCTCCTCCTCCTCCTCCTCCTCCTCCCCATCCTACTCAGCCTCCCCCTCCTCCTCCTCCTCCTCCTCCTCCTCCTCCTCCTCCTCGTTCTTTCTTGTTCCTCCCCCTCCTCCTCCTCGTTATCCTCCGTCTCCTCCTCCTCCTCCTCCTCCGCCTCCTCCTCCTACTCCTACTCATACTCCTACTCCTACTCCTACTCCTACTCCTACTCCTCCTTCCCCTCATGCACATGTTTCAAGCTCCAGACCATGCCCCGCATGGCGGCCGAGTTCTGCTCGATCGGACCCCGAGCTGACGTCGGCTCCCAGCGGCTCTCCAGCCTCGGGCTATGCTCTGCCTCCGCTGCGCCCCGCCGCGGGGCAGCTCTGGAGGTGCCCAGCCCCTCCCGCAGCCCTCCTGGACGGCCGCTGGAAACCCGAGGTGTGGCCCAAGATTACCAGTTTGAAACATATCCCTATCCCTGTGTTTGACATCACCTCACCTCGATGCCGATCGTAAGGATTCCCTCAGTTCCTGAGGGCCTATCCCTAAGATTGTCCTCGATTTTTGCTCGCCCATCTTAGGGATAGGGATACGTTCGAGGCTGGTTACAAAAAAACACCAGGGGGGGGGATACTCTCATGTCGGGCGTGTCCCCCTACAGGGGGAGTTTCGCCAAAAAATAAACCATACCCCAAAAGTACCCCAGAAAGGTCAAACAAATATTCAAAACATCGAACCCAGACTGTGTTTGGACGATTTGCTGATTATATTTTAGGTATCTTTTATTTTTCGTCGAAAATCCCCGTGTAGGGGGACAGGCCCGACTTAAGGATACTGGGGGGGGGGATGCATCGACCCCAGTCCGGAGGGTTCCAAAGGGGGTTTGGGGGGGAGGGGGTTTTCCAGAGAGGGCCTCGGAACCTCGTCAAAATAGGGGGTGCGAAGGCCCTGGAAGACACCTCCTGGAAAACCCTCTCCGCAAAAAAAACCTTCGGAACCCTCCAGCCAGTCGCCCACTCATCGCTGTTAGGCCACCCCGCCCGGGACCGTGCGGCGGATTCGCCATCGGAGCTTGATATCGCAGATGCATGGGCGAGGTATCGCCGATTCCAGAGCGGTGGTTCGCCCTTTGAGCCCCCACGTTCCCCCTCATGTCTGCCCAGATCTTCAAAGTAGTGCAAACAGAAGGCAGGTCTTTCGCTATTTCCAGCGTCTGGATGGAAGCTGTTTCTGGGCACTGGGGCCATCAGGAAATGATCCGGGATGAGGAACCAGTCTCCAGGAGGTTGTCGAGAAGTCCGGAGGCCGGGCATCAAAAAAAACAAGACTCATCTGAGGATTGCCTGGGGGAGGGGGGTCCACGGATTCAGGAGATGGGGACGGCACGAGTATGAACGAGGTCCAACAGCTGTTCCCACCCCTTTTGGACAGGGCCCGCTGTCGGGGTCGCAGCGTGGGGCCGATATCCTTTCCCCTCCCTCCGCCAACCTGGGTTTGGGTTTGGTTCGCGGCGTGGCATTGGCTGACCTGGGTTAGCGCTGACAGGGGTTAGCGCGTCCCAGAGAAAAGGAGGAGGAGGAGCGAAGTTTTGAGGATCGAGAATTCTGACATCTTCGTTGTCTTTCGGTTCCCGAGGACGTTTCGCTCTTCCAGAGCCAGGTTCCCCTGGAATCCTTGAGAAGGACGATGAGAGGGAGGATTTGGAGGGGAAGGAGGAGGAGGACAACGACGACCGTAGGAGCAGAGTGGTTGAGGGGGGGTGGAGGAGGAAGCGCAACGCCACCCATGCCAGCCCGAAAGCGGGCAGATCAGGTACAGTCGAATCCGATGGAAGGGATGGGTAACCTCCCCAAGGGTACCCTTGCATCCTTGCCTCTTCGGTCCATCCTGAACCACGTTCCATGGCCAGCCCCGCGCAACGAGCCTCGACATGGGCGTCCAAGGCTCTTGCATCCTCATCACGTATCCTGACCATCAGTTTTGATCCTATCGGCCGCTGCAGCCCAGATCTCGGTGCCTGGTCGGACGGTCTCGGGTTGGGAGCTGGCGTCGGATGTTGCCCCCCGAGGCGTGATACTCGCGGAGCTGCTGTGCCCCGTGCAGACACAGATGGACCCGCCGCCGCCGCCTCCCTCCCCCTGCCGCGTGCGGGTTTGTGCACGAAGGCGTGGTTCCGTATCGCTTGTGCCCGACCCCCATCCCCATCCCCTTGGCATCGCTCGGACGTGTGCCTTCTTCCTTCGGCGAGGACCATCGAGGCGCATCCTTGATCATTTCGCGAAAAAACCACGCGCGAAACCCAAAAAAACTCAGGAAATGGACGTCCGAGCGATGGCCAGTCCCCAGCCAGGCCCCCCCACCGCCTCACCCTCCCGGTCGGGGAGACGCCCTCCGGAACCCGAAGGGAGCGGCCCGTGTCCGGTGGGACGGCGGCGCTCGGTGGCGCCCCACGCCCCACGAGCGAGGCGCGGGGGAATCCCTGTCCCCGGAGGCCTAGAGGTTGACACCAACACCAATATCGGCGTTGTGCCTCCACCGAGGGAAGAATATCCCAATCTCGGTGATGGTGGTAATATTCTGGCTTCCTAGGCGGCCGAAAGATTACCACCAACACCGAATTCTAGGATCATCCTTCCCTGGTGGAGGCAGCCCCCTGTCTTGGTGTTGGTGCCTATTTTTAGGTCTCCAACATCCCCATCCCCATCCAGGCCCCCCCCCACCGTCTCACCCTCCCAGTCGGGGAGACGCTCTTCGGAACCCCCGAAGGCAGCGGCCCATGTCCGGTGGGGGCGGCGGCGCTCGGTGGCGCCCCACGCCCCACGAGAGCGAGGCGCGGGTGCGAACGAGGGGCATCCCTGCCCCCCTCCCTCGCCGTCGAGGTCCGAGGCCGGTTGGGGGGAGGCGGGGGGGCGCCTCGGGGCACCCCTCCTCCTCCTCCTCCTCCTCCTCCTCCTCCTCCTCCTCCTCCTCCTCCTCCTCCTCCTCCTCCTCCTCCTCCTCCTCCTCCTCCCCCGCGGCGCGCCGGCGTGCCCGTGGAGGCAGCGGCGGCCTCCCGAAGCCCCGGCACGGGTCGTCGGGCAGCGGCGAGGCGTCCTGGCGCGCCCACAGGCCCACCCAAGGGTGGTCTAAGAAGAACCTCTCGTGGTCTCCTCTTCAAGGATTCAAGGATCGGGTGGTTTCCTTTCCCCCTCTTCAGGGTGCGGGCGGAAGCCCAATCTGCTTCGACGCCTGCCTGCTTCACGTTCCTGCCCACTTCCTCCGACCGGCGAGTAAGTTCGAACCTGGTTACAGGCGGGGCCCTGGAGAAGGAACCCTTTTCGTTGGGGAGGGGCTCCGCGTTCCTGAAGTGCTTCACAGCTTGCCTCAGGTTGTCCTTAGGTTTGCGATCGGAAGGCGAAGTTTAACTTATGGAAAAAAGGGGCCTCGTTCCTTATTTAGGGTTCCTTAGGTCAACGCCCCGACTGTACCCAAGGATGTTCTAAGAAGAACCTTTCGTGGTCTGCCCGGACGAAAAATGCTTCGGAGGTTGATAGGCCTCCTACCTTGACACGTGGATCAGCGAGTTGGCCGTTCTCGGTTCGCGGGAGGGCGTCGCGGCCGTCATTTTCGCGGGTCCAGGTCCGTCGGTTTGGGTCCTAGTCCGGTTTCACTAAAGGGAGGTTTACTAAAAGGAGGTTTGTCCACCGCCGCATGTTCTTGGAAGATGTTTGGCTCACACTCCCTTGTTTTAGCACGTCGGGCTTATGTTCTGAGAACATTGTTTCTGTTATCAGAGCATGTCTGGGTTCTAACAACATTAAATGGTAGGCCTACATGAATGCCGGGGCGGTCGGTCCCTGCTCAAATTTGTGCACCCGCAGACCCGAAGCATTGTGCTCCGTACTGCCAAGACGCGGAGATGAGGACCGCTTTCGGATCGGAAGGGATTCGCTGTTCCTCAGAGGAGGAAAAAGTATCCATACCGCTACCCTTCTCTCGTGTTCCCCCTTTGGGGCCTCCCGGGCGGCCCTCGTCGCCATCGCTGGACGCGCCTCGGCTTCTGGTCAGAGCGCACCCTGGGAGAGGTCCAGGGAGTAGCGATATCGGTTTTCTTTTGGTTTCCTCGAGCCCAGGGGCGAAGGGCCGCAGCCAGGGTGCGCAAAGTGCGGAAGCGCAGGGGGGGGCGTACAGCGAGAAGCCAAGCGTGTCTGGCTGAAGACAACTCCCCCTCCTCCTCCTCCTCCTCCTCCTCCTCCTCCTCCTCCTCCTCCTCCTCCTCCTCCCCCTGCTCCTCCTCCTCCTCCTCCTCTCCTCCTCCTACCTCCTCCTCCTCATCCTCCCTTCCTCCTACCCCCGGCTCCTCTCCTCCTCCTCCTCCTCCTACTCCGTTCTCCTCCTCCTCCTCCCTCCTCGTTCTCCTTCTCCCCCTCCTCTCCTCCTCTCCCCCTCCTTCCTCCTCCTCCTTTGGTCATTCGTCTGGCCCTCCCGAGCACGAGGCGCTCACGGGCCAGAGGGGGGCTTCGTTCCTCGTGCCTCGGTTCCGCATCTCGGCAGCCCGTGGTACCGCAAGCGTTACGAACAAGATGCTGTGCAAGGCTTAAGTCGGAGTGTGTTCCTACAGGGTGATCTTCGACGGAAAAATAAAAAATCCTCCCCAAAAAAAATCCAAAAATACTCTGGGGACTATTTTTTGGGTATTGCTGTTGCCTTTTTGGTTTAGGGGTATGTGTTTTGGGTACGTTTTATGTCGTCGAAAATCCCCCTGTTAGGGGGGGACAGGCCCGACATAATGCAAGACGCCGCTCTCGCAGAGTTGAAGAAGCAAGCGGGGCCGGCGAGAGGGTCTGTCGGGGCGGGGCGGCCCAAGATTCTGCGGGGAGGTACCCATCGGTCGCTGGAAGTAAGTATTTTTGCGCTGAAAGTAAGTATTTACGGATTCCCAGATTCCAATCTACTCAGGCGCCTTCCTACCATTGATTTTTGTTGGTTACAGTACAGCTTTAATTGGTTTCGGAATTATTTCTGTAGCGCGCACTGTATGCAATTACATCAATAATTGTGTCGGGAATTAATAATGTAGGCTCGAAATATTGCCAAGAGCATTTTGGCTATGCATTTCTATTGAGTTGGGAAGTTAGAAAGGAATTCGATAAGGAATTTCCTGAGCTAGAAAGGAATTTGAATACCAGAGATAGTTCTGAACCTCAAAGACAATCGAGTCCGAATTGCCCGAGGAAGCCAGGGCCAGGAAGGGAAAAAGGAGTTAGAGAGGAATTTAATAAGGAAATTCAAGAGTTAGAAAGGAAGTTTGTTTTTTTTGGTTTTTTTTTGTTTTACGACGCCGAGAGGTCTGAGCCAGGAAGGAAAAAACGAGTTAGAAAGGAATTTGATAAGGAAATTCAAGAGTTAGCAAGCAAGGAATTTCGTTTTGGGGGTTGTTTTTGTTTTGTGTTGCTTTTTTAAGACGCCGAGAGGTCTGGGCCAGGCAGGAAAAATGAGTTAGAAAGGGATTTAATCAGGAATCTCAAGAGTTAGAAAGGAATTTCGTTTTTTGGGGTTGTTTTTCGTTTCGTTTTTTTTTCGACGCCGAGAGGTTTGGGCCAGGACGGAAAAAGGAGTTAGAAAGGAATTTAATTAGGAATTGCAAGGGTTAGAAAGGAATTTTGTTTTTTTTTTCTGTGTTGTTTTTTTGTTTTGTTTTTTATTTACGACGCCGAGAGGTCTGGGCCAGGAAGGAAAAAGGAGTTAGAAAGGAATTCAATAAGGAATTTCAAGAGTTAGAAAGGATTTTGTTTTTTTTTGGGTTGTTTTTTTGTTCTGTTTTTTACGACGCCGAGAGGTCTGGGCCAGGAAGGAAAAAGGAGTTGGAAAGGAATTTAATACGGAATTTCAAGGGTTAGAAAGGAATTTCGTTTTTGTTGGGGTATGTTTTTTGGTTTTGTTTTTTTTTTTCACGACGCCGAGAGGTCTGGGCCAGGAAGGAAAAGGGAATTAGAACGGAATTTAATAAGGAATTTCAAGAGTTAGAAAGGAATTTTGTTTTTTTGGTTGTTTTTTTTCGGGGGTCTGTTTTTTTTTTTTTTTTTACGACGCCGAGAGGTCTGGGCCAGGAAGGAAAAAGGGAATTAGAAAGGAATTTAATAAGGAATTTCAAGAGTTAGGAATTTCGTGTTTCGGGGTTGTTTTTTTGTTTTTTTTTAACGACGCCGAGAGGTCTGGGCCAGGAAGGAAAAAGGAGTCAGAAGGGAATTTAATAAGGAATTTCAAGAGTTAGAAAAGCATTTTGTTTTTTGTGGTTGTTTTTTGTTTTGTTTTTCTTCGACGCCGAGAGGTCTGGGCCAGGAAGGAAAAAAGGAGTTAGAAAGGAATTTAATAAGGAA